TATGTAAACAAACACTCAGGTCTTGCTTCAGCAAACATTTCTTCACCTTAGTAGCACATATAGGTACTTGTTGACTTTCATATAAATAGCACAGCATGTGTATGTCAGTATTGAAATGGTCTGAGGTCCTTGGGTAGAAGATATTCATGCCAAAGATAGCATTATGTTTTTTTTATCCACACTCAGCATGGGTGCAGCTAAAACAACGATTGTATCCAAACATTCCCATATTTTCAGTAAAGATAAGAAGCTGTTCTTGTCCAGGCTGGGAAATTTTGTTTTTCTCTCTGAAAGATCCAAGACTAGGTACATCCTAAAGGGTCCATGTGAAAATGATGAGTAATCAGTAGTTAGCTTCACTTATCAGGAGCATTGCAAAATACTTTTCAGGGCTTTGTATTCAGACATTCACTTTATTTTTTTTAAGATTAGTTTTGTGAGATCTTGCATATGTAAGGTAATTTGCACACTGGTAAACAACAACAACTCTGCTAGAAATTATAAAAGTATTACAAAGCCATTCTCAAATGCACAGACTGGTACTACCAATAAGAAAGGCTGGGTAGCCTTTCTTGCATTTGTACCTTTTGGATCATTGAACTTACTTGATATAGGGAAAATATTTAACTGTTAATACATTATGGATTTGTCATTGGCTGTCTGAGCATTGCTCAGACATTGCCACCTGGGGAAAAAAAAGTGCTAGAAGATGTGGGAGAGGAATTAACTAATCACCTTGTTTTTTGTATAAGCATATTCAACATGCCATTCCAAAGCACCTCTGAGACTACTCCCCATAGGATACTGAAAGTGTTAACTCTAAGCCTAAACTCAAAGTGAAGCACATACTCCAGGGTGCTCTTTGAGTACCTCTGTCTTCTGATGCCTGGCACTTACAGCCTCAGCAGTAGCTAATCATGTGAGTATGTTAGTACGCAAGACTTGAATGGTCAACTATTTAAAATGTTTGTTCATACAATATGAAAGTGTATAACGTGTAGCCTCAGCTTGGACTGGAGAAATACACAATGCTGTAGAAAGGGGAAATTTTCCTTCCCAGCATGGGATAGGAATAGATCTAGCCATCCCACCCCACTGCACCACCAGTGCTAGAGCTCAAATATCCTTTCTGAATAGAAACAGTCAGAAGTAGAGCTGAGATCTCAGTGAAACCTGTCTCCGGGAATTTTATTGCATTCTAATGTTATTTACATCTGTCCTGCATTATTTATTTAAGCTGCAGTTAATTGGTTCCTTTTTTTCTTTTGAAGGCATCTAGCCAATAGGTACAGGGGGGAAAGGCGTAAAGACAAGGCTGGAGCATAACAGATACTTGCTTAAGTATGAAGAGGAGTTGAATTGAGCACTTACACATGAGCTACCTCATGTCACAGAGAGAATTCATTCAGAAATCAATGGCATTACCAATATGTCAGTATTAGACACTTCAGTGCTCGCTGAAACAAGGCTGGAAGGACAGTCTCAAGATTTGGAAGACTAGGTCTATTTCATGACATGAATGGGTGCATTTATGAGAGTGCTACTATGTAATTATATATATATGTAAATATAACTTACTTGAGAAAGAGACAAGTCCTGTGTGCACAGCATAGTCTATAAGTATATTTGGGATCCAATAAAGAGAGCTAACATAGGCAGTATGTGGTATTGAATAGGCAGGTTGAGTTTTTAAAATCCTCATAGTCTAATTAGGATCAGGTATCGGCATCTCATCTCAGTAGGTCAAATTACTTATGAGAATACGATGAAAAACACCAGTTTTCTTTTCATCCTCTGATACGTTATCATTAAATCAAATATTGTAATATCAATATCTAGGAATTAACTTGTATGTTGTTTAAGCATAATAGATTGCTGAATAAACACTTGCTGAAAAGCTTTTGTCCTTTCTTCATACCTAATTGGCTCCTGCAAAGTGGTAGCATAGAGTGGCATTCCTTAGCCATGTAATTCACACAGGCAAGCTGTATTCCCAGGCTAAATAAAACCTCAAAGCTATGAGACCACTGATCTAGTGAAGCTGACTTCATAGAATCATAGAATCATTAAGGCTGGAAAAGACCACTAAGATCATGTAGTCCAACCATCAACCTGCTACCACTAGATGTTCCACATCTATGACTTTCTTGAAAACTTGCATGGATGGTGACTCCACCACCCCCCTGGGAAGCCTGTTCCAATGCATTTTCACTCTTTCTGGTAGAAATTTTTCTTAATATCCAACCTGAAACTCCTCTGGTCCAACTCTTGTAACTTTAAAGTAGCTTAATCAAGTCAGGCAAAAAATTGCAACACAGTAAGGCAAAAGCAGTCTAGAATTCCAATGAGTTCTCCAATTCCAACAAGTGGTAGTTCTCAACTTACAGCCACAAGAGAGGGGAAAGTGCTTTGGTAAGTGGCTTCAAGTTGTGTTTCTTCTTTGCAGGAAGTCAGCAAGGACTGAAAGACAAAGTTAACCTTTCATTATACTTGTAACTTTTACTACGAAACAGGGAACTTCTATTCTTGAAATGTAAATTCACTGCATAATGGGCCAAGTGAACAAATGCAGCCAAAGATGAATCCTGAAACAGACTACTTGTTTTCTAGCGAAAAAGTGAATATTTCTATTTTTGAAAAAGACCATCAAGCCCCATGTAAAGAGCTTTTTGTTTTCGTAAATGTAAATTCTGGACAAAACTCAGTGTAATATGCTGTTTCTCGGTGAAATATCCCATCTCTTCCAACCCCAATCATTATGAAGTATTCAATGCCAGCATTTGACTGCAAAATTATTAGCAAAATATGAATGAACCCTAATAATAAACATCCAGTTTCATAGAATACTTCGTGGAAGTACTTTCCACCCTCCTTCAACTTTCTCTTGCTAAGACTTGAATGTTGCTAAGTTCTGCTCTGCAGAAAGTGAAACATTTTTAATGTAATACTTAAAAGCTGTTTTCATTACTACAACTAAGCAGATGTGCTGGTCAGAGCTGGAAAAGCACTCTTATCCTGTTTATTTTCAATGCGCAGCTGTAGTAATTTATTGAAATGGCTAACTTGCAGACAAAGGATGGTAGTTTTGTGGTGGAATAACACCTTCTTTGAGATGATTTTGGGTTTACTTAAAATTTAAACCACCATTATTTTCATATAGCAATCATAGTCAGTTTTGTTTGGAATAGTCAACCACTGATGTTGCACTGTGGCTGTACTGTCAGTTTACTACGAAAGTAATAGAACAGTAGGTCATTGTAACAAATTGGTCTAGCTTTCCTCAGGGACAGAGAAATCTTATGCATAACTCTCAAGATACAAGCTCATCTTATTTTTGCTAATTTAACTCCATGGGTGTCCAAAGATGGTAGATCAGGTGTGATTTTTTTTTTTTTTTTACCAAGTTTGTTCTTTATGAAGGAATGTGTTACAGTAACTAATAGTCCCCAGGCTTTCATCCAGTTTCTGCTATAAATCCTTTGGACTATTGAGACCATGCTTGTAACTGTTCAGTCCGGATGTGATATTATGATAGTCAAGTCTTTGTTATATAAATTGGAATTAGGTCAGATGACCTGTATGCAGTCATTTGTTCTTTTCTTTGAATGGAATTGCCCTTCTGTACCTACTTTTCTCATAGGACCAAGTTTTACAAAGAAATCTTTCAAATTATTGGAAAGAAAGAAGGAAAAAAACAGCAAAAAAAGGATTGCAATGTCTACAAAATATTTCTCAAATCTAAGATGATGTATTTGAACAGCTTAACAATAAAATTAGAGTAAAATACAATATGATCACATGGAATTTCTCTTTAACAAAATGGAATATATCTGAGCACTGCAAAGTCAGCTGTATCACATCTGAGAAATGAGTTCCACAAAATTCAGAAAAGGAGCAGCCTTCAGCTTGTGGTGTAGCTACTCTGGTTAAACACTGAAGTAGAATATGACTGCATTGCTTTCTACAAATAAGTACATACCATATTTTTATGGTAGATTTTATTTAAAATTAGAATTATGTTACAAGTAAAACCTGAAGCCACAAGATGCTCCTATGAGGGTGCGCACATTTCAGTCATACAGGCAAACCAAAGCGTTGGCAGCACAGGGACCAGATCACGGGAAAGCCTCGAGCCAGGGGGCCAAGGCTTTGCTTTGCACAGCTGTGTAAAGCCCTTCCATAATAGCTGTCCATGACAGCAGTGAGGAAACATGAGGAGCTCTGCCCTGGCTCCCCAAGGAAGCACAATGCTCAGCAGAGCCAGGGAGAGAGAAGCGAGTGCTGCGGCACTGTATTCTGTCTCCTGGAGAAGAAGTGCACCAAAGGATGCTCTGAGGATGGAGTAATGCAAACCGGTGAGGGAGGCTCGGAGGGACAGCCGCGTCCCCGGGGCTCTGTGAGGCCGTGGCCCAGCGCGAGCAGAACTGCGACCTCGGCCTTTGGCATCTGCTCTGCAGCCACTCGCCATTCCCTTCTCGCCCCCCTTTGTAATAGCCTTTTTTTTTTTTTTTTTTTTTAAATCAATTTTGAGAGCAGAAACAGTAGATACATTCATTTTCGGTGGGTCTTCGACTGCTGTTGCGTTTGTTTGTTTTAGAAAGCTCTTCTCCATCTGCAACAGGCGGGCAGGCCGCGGGTCCCGCGAGCCCCCGTGAGCCGTCACGCCCGCCTCGTCCCCTGCCGGGCTGCGGCGGGGGGCAGTGCCGCCGAGGAGGCCATTTTGCAGCTGCTGAGGGAACGCGGCGGCGCCGCGCGGCCAGGCAGGAGCCGCCCCCCCTGTCCCCCGGGCAGGTAAGCACGCAGCACCTGGCGGGAGGGAGGGCTGCCCCGCGGGGGGTGCCGGGCTGTAGAGCCGCAGGGTCCGGAGTTGGGGGGGGGTACAGCTGGCGGCGGGGCGGGGAGCGCGGTCCTCGGCGGGAGGTGCGGGGAGCGGCCGGCAGGGGGCGCTGCGGTGCCGGGCCGCGCGGCGGGGCGCGGGGCTGCGTGAAGGGTTAAGAAGCGGGCGGCGGAGCCCGGCTGCCCCGGCGGGAGGGAGGGGGGCGGAAAAAAGGAGGAGGAAAAAATAAAATGAAATAATCGCGCCCGGCACGGAGCGGGGCCCTCCCAATTCTCCTCCCTCCTGCCCGGCCTGCGGGGACAGCGCGGGCCGCGGAGCCGCAGCGGGGCGACAATGCGGCGGGCGGAGAAAGCAGGAGGGGCAGCGCGCGGCAACATGGAGGGAGGCGCGGAGCGGGCCGGCCCCTGATGCGGCTCTTTCTCCTCCTCCTCCTCCTCCTCCGGGCAGCGGCTCCGGCGGCGCTTCCCTCCCTGGCGGCGGCTGGCGGCGGCGGCGGGTGGAAATGAGCAGGTCGGCGGCGCTTCTCCTCTGCCTGCTGGGCTGCAACGTGTGGAAGGCGGTGACCAAAACCTTAGGGGCGCCCGAGGCGGCTCAAGGTCGGTGCGGGGAGGGGGGCGGCGGCGGGACCGGCCCGCTTTGTGCCGCGGCCCCGGGGGGCTGCGTCGTGCGGGCGGCCGGTTCGGGGGGCCGGGATGTGGGGGCGGGGGAGGCGGCGGCGGCGGCGGGAGAGCCCCCTGGGCCCCTTCGGACGTGGGGCGCGGCCGCCCCCGCCCGCAGCCCCGGCCCCGCCGGGATGGCAGCCCCGCAGCGGGGGCGGCGCGACCCCCGGGCCGGGAGCTTTGTTAGCGGCGGGGCAGGGGCTGCCGCCGGCCCCTTTGTGCCGCCCCCTCCCCCGGCGCTGCCGGAGCTGTTGCGCCGCGTCCGTCTCCCCCGGCGGCCATCCCGCCGCGGCGGCGAGGGGCAGCGGCGGCGGCAGGCCCGGGGCTGCGGGCTCGCCCCCCGGGCTGGCGGGACGTCCCCGAGCCTCGGCCGGGCCTTTTGTTCGGTGCGGTGGGCTGCCCGCGGGCCCTGGCGGCGGGCAGGGCGAGCCCCGGCGCTCGCAGCCGCTCCGGCCTCGCTGGGGCGCGAGCAGAACCTCGGCGGCGGCCCCCGAGCCCCCCAGGCGCGGCTTCTGCGGCCCCGAGCAACTTGCGGCCCTCCTCGGCCCGGCCGGAGCCCCGGCGCGCTGCTCCGCCCCGATGCGCACAGGTACGTTGGGCACGGCGTGCCCTCGCGGCGAGGTGCACCTGCCCTGTGCCCCGCTGCCCGGCTTGGGATGGGGAGATGCTGCTCCGTGCCCGCCTCCCCTCGCCTCACCTCTTGTGGTGGGAGGTCTCAATCGGGGGCCCGGTGCCAGCACCGTGCCTCCGGGACCGCAGTTGTGACAGAAGGCAGAAAACGTGTCTGTTTAATGGTACCCAGCAGTGCTGAGGGAAACATCTCAAGCGTGGTCAGCGTGAGCCTCATAGCTCCCGTTGTCCAGTAGCTACGGCTGTCATCTGAGGTGGAAGCTTAGCCTTTGTGGTGGGTTAGCAGCTTTCTTCTCACTGTTTTGGGAGGGAAGGACACCGTATGAAGAGTGTGCTCGTGTCCTGTGTCCTCTAAGCTTGCCTATCCGATGTGTCATTAAGAACCGGTAAGCAATGTCTGCAACAAGAAAAAGGAGTATGTTTAGAACCTTCTTCGATTCTTACACAGCTGTATTTGTGGTATGTGAGATAAGATGTAGGACCAGTGTTCTTATATAGAGTATTCAGAAGGTATTGATATCTTATAGCAAAACCTACCACTCTTGGCAGTCTGATATCCTGTTCAGCCATCTTTAAGGACACTGGCACTTATAGAAAAAGAACTACTGAACTATGATTCAAGGGCTGTTAGACTCAGGGCAGTGTTTTAGTGATAGATATGCCAGGGAGTAACACAACTGTGTGCATCCCTTGGTGCTTGCTCTTTAGATATCAAGCTGTACAGCAATTTCTGTATCATATGGGAAGTCTTTTGTATTTGTGGTCAGAATGGTAAAGTATAAGCAAAATTAGTGCTTTTCAGCTGCCCTGCTGATCCTGTCATCTACTGTCAAGCTCAATTCATTGTATCCGGAAAGGCTTGTCTTTATAGCTGCTACATCCCCATCAGAACTGATAGCTGATTATTTAAATAATAGCAGCTATGTCAGTGAGTTGGGAACATTTATATCTAGATGGAATGGTCTAATTTTATCTTCGGTGTAAGAACATGTGGGTTTTTCATAAGTAGGATTATTTTCCAAATTCCCATTGTGAGCTTTGGAAGTGCACGTTGATAGTGGTTACATAGAACTGATCCAGTGCTGAAGTGAATTCTGTTCAGCTGTGATAATTAGTTGCCAGCTTCTTATTGTGGGTCTTTAAAAGAAAAAAAAAAAAAAAAAAAAAAAGAGTGAGATGAGGAGCTGTAGTTTGCGTAGTCATAAGGTGTGAATGTCTGGGGGATGGGGTTGTAGTGCCAGTCACATTCCTTGTTTGTATGCTGAGCACAGTAAGTGATAAATGCTTATACAGCTTAAACCAACTGTTTTTCTGCCCTGCTCTTTTAGCACTGTGGTGATAATTACTGCTACAGGTGAAGGGCACCATTGCCAAAGCTTAGGGATGTATGCAGAGGGTGTTCTTTTCTACCCCTTGTGTCTGAGAAGAGACTAGAATATTGAGGGATCAGAGTAAAGGCGGAGGTGAGAAAACCAGAGGATGCCACTGTGCAATAATTGCTTCAACCGAAACATTTAATATTAGGCAGATTACAAGAGATCAGGGTACAGCCCTACAGTGATGGAGTCGGTTAGATGAGACCCACTCAAGATTTTCTATGCCTGTGTCAACAGGCCACATAATGTGCTGGACTTGGAGCTGTTTGAGCGTGGATGCTGTTCTGGTTAAGGATGGAAGGTGAGCTGCCACTCTGCATCATTTCTCTTTTTCTTGCTGCTCTCAGCCTTGCATTCAGGCAATTCCAGCCTGAAAATCTGCTTGGGCAGGCCTATTACATAATTTGTGAATATGGAAAGTACTGGTAATTAAGCTCTGCACTTAGTACCTATTTAGAAAATTGAATGACTTTGGCAGGCTGTTACCTTATTTAGTTCATTATGCAGATAGATTGTGACCTCTGAAGGTCACGGAGGTAACCTGTAAGTTTCTGCAAGTGAAAGAACTCTTTTTTTTTTTTTTCTTAATGTATACAGTAAAGTACATGCAGATAAGTTATTCGTTATTGTCATTGTTGAAATTTAGCGCCTTGAGAGTGAAGTTGTTAGAATTCCAGAAAGACACATTTAAGGAGTGATAAGACCTCTAACTTTTCTCAGATGCCTATGTCTGATCAGAGTTTCAAGTGAGGTCTAAATTGTGTTTGTCTCAGTTGTTCTATTGCATGTTCCAAAGCTGAAAGTGGTTTGAACATATGCTAAAATGGATATATAGAAATCTTTATTTTAAATGAAAACAACAACAAAAAAAGAACCTGTGGACAAACAAAAAAATAAAAGAACCCCATGCCGCTCTTTAAGCTGCATTATGATGAATTGGTCATTTGCTTGAGTGCAGACAAACTGCTCAATTTGTTCTCTTCATATGAACAGATGCTTTCCAACTTTGGGAGCCCCGGCAAGGCGGGAATCCGAGAGTTGTATGAGAGGGTAATGCTGAACTGAAGCAAAACCAGTGTGATTGGAGAAGGGCTTAAATTTCTTTGTTGTTTTTCAACTTCACTTTGCAGTAGATGATGATGTATCATTCATATATTCTAGGAAAGATCTTTTTAAAAGAATACTGGCATACAATGCAGAAGTAAGGTTTTTGACTGATGCAGAAAGTATTGGTTTTAATTTGTCTTCGTTGGTCTTTGTTTTATTAGTTATTCTAACCTAAGAAGTTTTGAAATAAAGCATTTGAGTAATAGATAGCATCCAGTTCAAGGACTGCTCTACTGGTGGATGCATAGGCCTGGGCTGTCCCGCCTTTGTAACCATGGGATAAGGTAGAGCAGATGTTTTTTTTCTAGTGTGCTGATGAATAGAGGTTCATCTGTCACTGCTTAGAATGTGCTACCTTCTCCCTCTGTGTGTCTGGACAATGGGGAAATTGATGCTTGAGTGCTACTGTTTAGTTTTGCCTGCCTGCAGTCGCCATTACATGACTTGATGTTGTGAAAGCTGATTTCACAATGCTTCAGCTGGACATTTTATGAAGGCTGCTTTTCTGGACAGCTCAGTAACAGCTGCAAGGAGACCCTCGGGCTCTTGGCTTCTTTCTAAGATGGTTATGCTGAGCTTCCAGTTTTGGCCACAGCAATAAAGTTTTGGTGATGTGGAAACAGTAATCTTTTTCACCTTGCACTGCTGTGCCATTTCTTCTTGATCAGCTGTAAATTACTAATGTCCTTCGCATGCAAACATCTATTTCATCGAGACCACAAGTGGACTCGTCTGAGTGGAAAGTAAATTGCTCTAAAGCAGTGCAGAAGATGTTGCTTTCTTTTAGTGGAGAAGCAAAATGTTTGCTTAGTGCTAGATAGTATTGTGAAATGTTGACGAAGGGGATGTATTGTTTGGTTTTATCAGTTATCAGATCAGGAGAAATAGTAGATTTTTTCATGCTTAAACTACTAGTGCCAGTAAATGGCATGTCTAGAGCTGGGACAAACGAACAGTCACCTCTGTGAGTGAATGGTGTAAAACTGCAGCCTTTCCAGGGGATGTTCATACTCACCTTTGCAGTCTGCAGTACCTTGCAGTAAGTGGTTCAGCTCACCTTGTATATGGCTCAGAGCACCATGGATGTGCTTGTCGGGGACGGCAAACTCACACGCTGCTTCCCTGTGGTCCCTTGTCTGCTTGTGCCTTGAGATGAGCTAATCGCCAGGTGTTACCTAACACACAGCCTAAAGCAACCTGCTCCCTCCTTCTCTCTCTCCCTCTCTGTGTTTTTGGTTCTCTTTTCTTGAACTTCGTACTGACTCCTCTTATTGTATGTGACCAGAAACTTGGTCCACTGCATTTTTAGGGACTGCTGCAGTGCCAACTTCTGGCAAGTGAATGGTCTCAAATAGCAGTCCCTGCTCTACAGAAGCAATGAAATGCAGCTTGACTATACGCCTGGTTATTTATATCTGTATATATGTGTGGGGATGGAACACCAACTGAGCTTTTAGGTTTGTTGGAAAACTTGAGAAACCTTCAGCGGCTTTGGTGTGTTGCAGGGTAAGAGTGTCACTGCCCACTGCCAGTGCAAACTTTAGGTGAATTCTTTGCTCCCGTGAATGGGCAATGACTACCAACAGTGTTAGTGCCTGCAGAGAACTGAGAGCAAAATGCATGGCAGGGAGACTTGGTGCATGGTTCGGGGCTGCAGAGACCATTGCTACAAGCTGCTTCTAGTGCCTTCGTTTCCTTGGGTATTACCTTGGTGTGAAAGCATACTCTAAGAAGTTGTTTACAAAAGGCACTTGCAAAAGAGAAGATGAAATACATTGCAATGAAAATAACCATTAGAGGTTCCTTAAAGGCAAAATTAAACTT